TCGAAGTGGGCGTGCGAGGCCCGTGCCTCCGCATCGCGCATCCTTACTATACTGGTGGACTGTACTCCCGGGGCTCAGGAAAGCAGGGCCACGGGAGGCCGAGGGCACGAATCCTTCGAGAGGACACGCCCGAGATGGGGACGGAAAGATCCGCCGACCCCGTCCGCGTGTGCGAGAGGCCCGTCGACACGAGGTCAGCCCGACGCAGACTGAAGTCCACCAGCCTCCTTTGAATCGTCGCCGTCGCCAAAGAGGTCGAACAAACAAGGGGGCTCGAGCAAGGTCGCAATCACGTCGAAGGGGAGCCGCTTCCCCTTGTCAATTCCCCGCCTCGGCGGTGGGGTCCCAGGGGCGGGTCCCGGGGGAGGGTCTAGGGGGGGGCTTCCCGGGAGCCCAGGGCGTTGTCACCCGTCACCCGCTCGGGGTTTTCCCCCTCGACGGCTCCTCTCATCCTCCTCATCTTCTTCCTCCTCTTTCTCCTCCTCTTCTTCGTATTATTATTATCAGTATTGTTCTTGCTATTCTGGATGTATCATTACTGTTAATATTACTGTTATTTTTGTTATTATCCCGATTAGATTGATTACTATCATCCGTAAAATTGCTATCCGGCGGCCCCCTTCTGAGTCCACCAGGCTGTAGGCTCAGGGTTTCCTGTTTCCTGCACCAGTTCCAGCTTCCAGATTTCACGGTTACAATTCTGCATCTTGCTGCTCACTGCTCCTTGTTGTAGACCGCGCGAGGGGGGGGAGGCGAAAAGCGTCCAGATTACCACGCCCGAGTGGCGTGCTCTGAATTCCTGGGGGGGGCGTGGGACACGTAAAAATATATGAAATTCGCGCCCCCGAAATCATAAACCCTCGCGAATTACGCAATACTCGCGTCCCCGAAGCCAGAACCCCTCGCAAACTACGCCGTACTCGTGTCCCCGAAGCCATAACCCCTTGTAACTTACGCAACACTTGCGGCCCCGAGAAGCCACAAACGCTCGCAAATCATACAAAATTCGCGTCCCCGACGCCATCAACCCTTTTAAACTACGCGATATTCTCGCCTCCAGAGCCGTAAACCGTCGCAAAATACACCGTTGTCGTGTCCCCAGACCCACATAAACCCTGTAAGTTACGCAATAACCGCGTGTCCGAAGCCATCAACATTTGTAAATTACGCGGCATTCGCGTCTCCGAAGCCATACAACTGCCTAAATTACACTAGATGTGCAACCCCGAAGCCATACATCTTCGTAACTTACACGCTGTTCGCGTATCCGAAGCCATAAACCCTCGAAATACAACACCGAATTCAACAATATCATCAGAATCTCAATTTGTCTTGCCGATTACTCATCGTCTTCGCGTGAAGTCCCGACGCTGCTTCACGGCGGCGCCAAGGCCTCGTGATGTCGCTCTTGCATTGCCCATTATGCGGAAGAGGTGGCTGGTGGCAGGGGGCGAAGCCCTTGGGGATGAATAGCATCGCTTTGTTATGTTTACTATATTGATCATGATTATGAATCGTATTATGACTATGACTAGGAGCAGCATCAATCTCATTGTTACGATTGACTACACATATTACTACTGGTGGTTGTGGTAGCTTTCGTAGATGTCATACTACTATGAATGTTCGTAGTCGTATTCTTCTCGGTACGAGTAACACTATTCGAATTATTCGTACTCGTAGTCATATTCATATGAGTATTGTCATTATGTTTGTCCGTATTATTACCATGTGCGTTCATCATCTTCTTATGTTTCGCATTAGTGATAGCATTATTCTGAATATGTTCATACTTATTATTAATCATATTCGTATTATTATTGCCGGTCGCATTACTAATATCATGATTAGTAGTCTCCTTATTGATACAATCATTATTACCGTATTCTCATCCCTCCTCCCCCTCCTCCTCCTCCTCCGCCGAAAGCTCAGGGGACGCACGGGGCGCCACTAGAAGTTCACCGAATTCGAGAGCCACCCCTAAATAGCCCCTTACCCTGTGAGTGGCTCGGCGACAGTGCCGCAGGATTAAATGGCCTCACGTTCCAGCCAGGCACGGCCCCCCCAAGGCAGTCCTGTCACGAGGCCCGTTTCGGCGGCCGCTTGCTGGCCCCGTTGCCGTTGCGAGCGCAGCAGCCCTCGGCAGCGCCGGTCCTTATGTATGCGCCGAAGCTGCAGCCTCCGAAGCCGAAGGTGTCAAGTAGGCGACATTCAGGCATGGATGCCCACCCCTGTCGATGGACAGGTGTTGGGTGCCTAATGCCGAAAGGTCGGATGCCCACCCATATCGATGGACAGGCATGGGCATCCCGCCCCCGCAAAGGCGTGGCTTGGCGCACAAGGACTTTCGCCCGCTCAATTGGCTGTGGTTCGGCAAAATTGCCGTTGCGGGCGCGGCAGCCTCCGACATCGACCGCGTCGAGTAAGTGGTGATTGCCCAACCCTGTAGATGCACAGGCAGTGACGCCCGCTTCTCGTACCTGAAGCTCGGACGCCCATCTCTACCAATGGACAGGCATGGGCATCCTATGAAATAGTGCCACAGACACTGAAGCAATTTCTGTCTGGCACCTGAGACGTCCATCGCATCACCCAGCGGTGACTGAGTACATGAAAAGTGTCCTTTGGAGTATTCTGTAAATGAGCGCATTCGTTAATTGACTCACGCGCCGTTCTGTGAGTGACATGTGACAAGCTCAGTGGCGACGCCGCCGCTCCCGAGGCCAACGCGCCCCCGCGGTCTGTCTCTGCCAGCCTAAAGGTAAGGAGGGCCAGCGAGAGTGACGAGAACCCCTGCCGGTGCGCGATGCAGGTTGGATGGCGCGACGCGAGAGCCTCCGCGGGCCCAGAGAGGAATGCCCGCGGCGTGGCGGCGCACATCAGCTGCGTCCTCGCTGGGAGCTTTCTGGGGCGTCGCATATGTCCTTTTCTTTGTATGTATAAATATATGTATATGTATATACTTATATATAGATATATTATGTTA